ATTGGTTTGAGCCTGTATGATTTCTTTCCGAATTCGCCACTCATATTCCAATCTTGGCTCCAGATCAGACAAAGCCAGTCTCCCAGTAATTAAAGACGCCAAAGCCAGGTGTAGAACTGGGAAACTAGGGAACCAAAGCCACATGAATGGGACTGATTAGGTGTTTAGTGAAAATGAGATTTTCTGGCTCAAAGACAAAGTACAGCCTCTCACTTGGTGCACAGCGATCAGTGGGGTGGCAATTGACTGCTGCTGATGAGGTACATGAGGTAAAGGCCCTGAAAAAATGACATCCCGCATTCATCGCGCTTACAAAGGAGTCGACGGCATCGAAAGTCTGAGTGGAAATCTTCTGAGGGATGAGTTTCAAGCACGAAACAGGCTTTTCAATTGAACTTGTGTGGAAAAATAGAATAGACGTTTTGTTCTAATTCGGCAGAAAAACAGCCTGTCCCAGATCAGTTGTGGGGATTATGAAGCACAGAGAGAAACCAGCGTAGTGGAAACATTAAAACGTGAGAAAAAAAGTTGGATTTGAGCTGAGGCAGTTTTATCTCACCATTATTATTTATTTTTAATGGGAATAATACACTTTTCTTACAAGACAGTTTACGTCTACATCATGGAACGTGTGTTCTTTAAGTTCATTTGTGGGGGGACACCCCCAAAATAAAATACATATTTTACCACTTACCTGAAGTTCTTCTAGATTGTTTTGGTTTGAGTTACCTATTGTTGGAGATATCGGCCGTAGAGATGTCTGCCTTCTCTCAAATACATTGGGACTATATGGCACTTGGCTTGTGGTACTTAAATGGCAAAAAAAAAAAACATTTGAAAAACTTAACAGCAATGTCTCTTTCCAGAAAAAAGTAAGAAAGCACTTTGAGCACAACAAACCCCTTCATTTATTGAACTAACTTAAAAAAAGTTTAAATGTACTTCCAATGTAATATTGGAACACATGCATGGAGATTGGGATTTGTTTTCGGCATGTTCAGTGGCAGTGAATGAGGTCAAAGCATCACACATCGGTCCTGAGCGGTTCACAGCTGTGGTCAGGTCAAGGTCAGTGTACTTTGGGGCGGTGGGTGTACGCCAACGGACTGAGGGGGAAATGAGACTTTTCTCTCCCTTCATTGACACTGGAATGGATTGTAATCAACACATTATGCCAGTTGTTAATTGCTTTTGCCGCCCGCTGCTAAAATAATTTGCTACTTTTTTTTTTTTTCATTGTAGTAGTAGCCATCTGTTTCAAAACACAGGGACGGGATCAGGCCCAGACCCTTGGTGGATGTTGACATGAGGTACAGGCAGCTAATTTGCACTGCCACCACCTTTATTGATGAGGCTACGAATGTGTGGAGAGATTCACAACGAGGGTCTGCAAATGGAACGCAAGCTACATTGAAATGAGGAATATTGATCATCAGAAAAAAAACCACATAAAAAAGGTCCTTTCATTCAAAAATCACACTCCGTTAGTCAGTCATGTATCAAAACGATAAATGACTAGTCACTTCTGTACAAATGTACATGCCAGATGATCCTGTGCATCCTCTGAAATAGTAATTTTGGCCTTGAGGAACAATGGCCTCCTTATGAGGCTCACCCCAGCTTCAACCCGTCCGTGTCCCTTAATTGCTCGAGGCAGCAGACGGACACTCTCAATAGTGTCTAGGAGGGACAATAGCCACGAGGAGCTCTGCAAGAGAAAGCTTTTACCCTGCTTCACCTCATATTTACTCTAATCAGTCTTACTGTGTTGAGGCCCACATCACCGGTCGTATGGATGGAGCGCTCGACACCTTCTGCTCTTCTCTTTGGTCTGCTCTCGGGTCTTTGCTCAAAGTGTTTTATCGTTGAAAGGCAAGCTTCTATTCCAATGAATGAGTGAGGGTATGATCTTGTGTTTGTTCTCTGTGCAGCCATAGAGAGGCGCAGGGATGAGTTATTTCTGTAGTCCAACAGGAAGTTAGCGTAGCGCTGGTTCAGTCAAACAAAAAAAGCCAATGGGATGTTTCCCTTTGATTTTGGAAATTTAAATGTATGACACTTACAAGTTTCGTTCAGCAAAATAATCTTCACACGTGAACACTTTTATGATCTTTGAAGCGTGAATGCAATCGGCAGAAATAAAAAGCTAACGTTAGGCTATGAATACTCCATGGTCACATGACTTTATGTCATCACCACTAAGCCAAAGGTGGAAGTGTTTAGAAGTTTTATTTAGCTACTTGTTAGCAACAGCCTCTTTCAAGACACATAAAAGCTTCAAAATCCATGGGAGAGGTATTTGCTGATTTTATTTTGTAGAACAAAACGTTAAAATATCTTAACCTCTCTGAAGACCCTATTTTAAGGGATCTAACTAAAAACCCATTCAAAAAAAGGATAGATTTTGAGACAAGGAAACAGAAAATGCAAAAATGCTGACTCATTTCCGGGTTGTATGACTCATTCCTGCAGCATTCTGTGGAAAATGTTTTTAGTCAAAGGGGACAGACAATGAAAATCCAAGTAAAGACAAGATGGACAGTAGCTGCATCCAAGCTGGAAAGTGAACCAAGCATCGAGTTTCCTCTTTATCTCCGGGGAAAAGTTTTGAAAGTGGTCGGCCGATGACAAATCAGATGAGAGAATCCAACAACTTACAACGCTGCTCGAAAAAGCAAGTTTACACATTCAAGGGCAATCACACCTAATTTCTGCTTAATAATCACATGACATGGTTCCGTTGTCTCTGTGTGAAGTCTCAGAGGTACAAATTGTGTGCTCTAAATCATATCTACTTCCCAACACTTCCTCTTCCAGAACTAGTTTGTAATTAGCTGTGTGGAGAGCCCATTAATGACTGTACCGGGCATGTACAGTATGTGAAGTATGTGTCTTTTATATAAGAATTTCTCCTCGGTGGCTCTGTCTGTCATGCATATAGCATTTGCAGCATCCGTGTGTGTGTGTGTCTGTGTGTGGTGTTATACTGCAGTATAGTCTGAGAGGGCATCCTTTAGTCTAAGCGATGCTGCGGCTGCCGCCAGGGTTTGAAGGCGACATCTCAACGGGAGGGGAACAAGCCATCAAAGCTAACATGTACTTTAATTACAGGTAATCTCGACTCAGAGACACTCTTCCACTCCCCCTGCTCTTCAGAACTTCCTCCTCAATTACCAAAGTGCCTCAATTAGGCCCTAAATAAGCAGTGGACACGCACAAGGGAGAGATGGGCAAATTGCAATAGAGAGGGTAAAAACAACGGGCCACGTAAGAGTCGGTGTGATGCAGAGGCAATTAAAAGACAAAAAAAAAAAAGTGTTCCACCACGCGGGGCGAAAATGAGGAAAAAAAAGAGAAAAAGCTCTTTGATGAGCTAAGTGGAGCTTAAGAGGCGATGGTCGAGGAGAAGAAAGAAGGAGAAAAGAGAAATTAAAGACAGATGATTGGCAAGAGGGCTGATGTCACACTGTTTCCCTACAGGACCATATGTCGAGAGACTGGAATGTGTGAGTAAGTCATGATTTCTATAGAGCAAGTGGGCATCCCACAGGCAGCTGATTCTCTACACTCTCTCTTTGCTTTCCCCCCCACTCACGTTCATTATCCGGCCGAAGCCCATACACACTCCATCTACTGCGAAACTTACCGTGGACTTCTTGAATGGACAAATGAAGACCCTGTCTCTTTTAATGGGCTTATTCTGCATCTAACAACGGCCCTTGTTAAGGGGGGAAATATTCTTTAGCTGCAGCCGGCAGTTAAGTGCATTAGTCAATTAGCTCAAGTCTAACCCCGAGCGATTGTCTGATGAATTAACGAGAGAAAAAATACATCATCAAGGAACACAAGGAGACATACACACACACACACACACGTAAACTCACACAGACACTCACGCCTCTGTTTATGCTGTTTGTTTGCGTGAGTTGGCGTGTGTACTCACAGTGCCGTTCTGTGGACGGCAGATTCACGCTGACCCGGGCTGGCCGGTTGGAAACGGAGCTCACCTATGCCCACAGCAAGCTGCTCATAGCAGACAGGACTGTCATCACCGGGCATCGCTGTGAAATGGAGCAAAGCGCTGGGCGCCGGGATGAGCAGTGATGTGATATATAGTGTGTTAAGGAAGAGGGGGGAAAAAACTGTGCAGTATAATTTCGTCTGAAACAGCTTCACGAGTGAGTCGATTCTCTTTTGGTCACTTTGACATTTCATGCAAAGTTGGGACTGTACAATGAGAAAAAAAGAAGAAGCTCAACAGCTTATCGGGACAGCTCAGCATGTATCCAGGAGAGGGCAGTGTTATCCAGAGGAGGCGTGGGGACTGTACTCAGTGTTTGATCTGAGCAGATGTGTGTGAGGAGAATCATTAAACAGCATCTGTCCACTCAATTACCCCCTTCATTAGTCTAATCCGGCTTTTTTTTTTTTTTCTTTTAGAGTTGTAATTAAATTCACCATCAATTGAATCACGGTGTAAAACAAGTCGCGGTGACAGGGAGCAAACAGGCTTTCTAAAGGAATTATGGGATGGCCAAAACGAGAAAGAGGAAACAATCGGGACTAGAGGTGTACAGGCTGCATTATAGTCTGTTATTAGCATGTAAAAGCATACAGGGAGCTGAAAATGGGAAAAAGATTTTTGTTTTATTGTGGAACCAAAGTTCCAACAGGAAAATAGTTTCAACAATATATTTAGTTTTGTGGGAAATAAAATTTCAAACAGAGCCTGTTGAAATGTAGGCTTGACCCTCTCTAGAAAGAAGTGTGGATGTAGCGTCTGCTGACAGTATGGGATGTGATGTAAAGGAAATTAAATCGGACGATAACTTATATATGCCTGTGTAGGCCTTTATTATAATAATTAAATATTTGATAACTTAGCATTTATAATAATTTACAAAATATGTCATGTTTTATCCCCACACGAATACATAAGATAGATTTTACTTTTAATTACATTCACAGTCATATATCTAAAAGTTGCTTTAATTAGCTTGTTCTACCGACAAGAACAAGAGGCCTGGTATAAAGTGACTAGAAGAAAATCTATATTCATACGATTAATACTGAAGATCAGAAGAGACATTGCCACAAACTAACACAGGAGAACAGAGACGAGGCGTTGACATGGAAGGACGTCACAAATTATCGTAGCTGCAACAAACTAAAAATTACGGGTTTCAAAATTTGACGTGAAACAGCGGGAAAAACAAAGAGCAGCAGCGTCTCGGTTTGTTTCATGAATGGAACATGTCCTCTTGTGCCACAGTCTGCCTTAACACCAAATGTGGCTGCATAGAAAAACTCAGCAATCATAATGAGTGGAAATCACAGAGGAAAAGTAAAACCTATCCCAGAGGTAAAAAATCGCCGCTGCAATGTCAAAATGGCTGCTTAAAGAAGGTCCCGTCGATAAACAGCGCGCACAGACTACAGCACTTTCTGAACAGTTGTGAACCTGGATAAAAAGAGATTTAAAAAAAGCATTGTTCTCATCGATCGAGGGGGAGAGCAAGAGGAGAAATAGAACGACTCGAGTCGGCCACCAAGCTTCCCCGGCTCATCTGTAAAAAAATCGCAGGATGCGCTGCGCCCCTTTTGTCTAAATGTCGATGAGGTCGTCGCCGCTCTCGTCGCTCTCCACGGTCAGCTGACGGGTCCACCACTTCTTCACCTCCGACCCCGAGGAAGCCTCATTGTTGACGGGGTTCATCTTGCACACTATGGACTTCACACTCGTGCGACCTGACACAACAAACACAAAGACACCAGAGAGCATTCACAGCCTGGTTCTTGTCCTGTCTACCTGCATTTCTTTGTCCAGGCCATGATTGCTAATAAGGGTTTGTGTTTTACTTATTTCCATGAACAGATTCTGCCATCGGGAGCCTGATGCTGTCCGTTTGCAGTCTGAGTAGTATTGACCAGTCACTTTCGAGCAGTCTGCGGTTGAATCAGGTAAACAGTCAGTGTGGAGAAACAGATACGGAACACATTGACCGTAAAGTAATCTAGTGCCCCACTGGCTGCCATTTGACAATGATTTAGCTTTTTATTACTATTGCTAACGGCGGCACACGTACATGAGGCCGGGTCGCTCCCATGGATTTTGCCACATTTTTGTCTCAATTTGTTGTTATTTTCATCTTTATTACTGGAGCAGTTGTGGCACATGACAGAATACACTCATCAACATTGGAGAAGAAAGCATGCGGATTGGATTCATTCGTTGCCCACCCAGCCGGACCAGTCGGACCAAACGTCACTGAAAACCAAGATTGGAAGCTAAGCTAACCTAGCTAGGACCTATGGTTATTTAACCACCCTGTCCCTGGACTCTGTGTTTAAATCAATGATGCTTGCTGCTCGAACATAGTCAAATGTGACGGACAGTGTTTCCCTAATGTTGAATGTTTGCATTTCTCCTGATAAGTAAGTAACAAATATAGCCCCTTGTCTTGAGTTCCAAGATTGCTTGTTAACTGACCTGTCTGTGTAAATACATTCCCTTTTCTGTACTACAAGGTCACATAAAACCCTGGTCATAAAACCCACATTGAACAGAACTGTAGAACTGTGACACTTAGCAGCAGACGGTACACAGAGCTGCACGCACCTGCAGGCAGCCGCCACTGTCCCAGCTTCCTCTGCGGTCTCCCCAGGTCTGAAGAGTCCTGCCTGTAGCCTCCTCTGTCTGACAACGTGGGGCTCAGCAGCTGCTGGAGACCGCTCATCTAAACACAGAGAAGACATCCTTTTGTTTCACCACTGCAAGCGCACACCCTGCAGATTATATGATGCGCCTGCTATACATCAAGCTTTGAGCGTGTGTGAGTGTGTGCGCGGGTGTTGGTACGGATGCGGGGGTTCACCTCAGGCTGCGAGGGGTTGTCTGGGTTGTTAGTGTTGTGGTCCTCACTCGGCAAGGTGGTCTCTATGCTGGGGGGGTTGAGAAAGCGGCTCAGCTCCTGCTGCTGGCTCTCTCTCAGGCTGTGGATGATGCTGCACGACTGCTGCTGCTTCTGCAAGAGGGAAGACAGACATAATGTGGTCAGTGTGTGATACCTCAGCGTGTACTGTACATGTGTGTTTGCAAATTCCCCTGGGAACGAGTGCGTTCTCGCGAGGCGTGTTTGTGTCGGGAGACTGACCGCCCGGATGCGTTTGAGGCATTTCTTGAGCCACATTCGTATGGTTTGTTTGGCAACCTCTTCTTCAATGGTGTACTCCAACTGTTCCCTGGCCAACAGCTCCTCCAGCTGGAGAGACTTCCTAATGTCCACTGAGCGATATGACAGCATGCTGTATGACACACACACACACACACACACACTCACACTCACACACACACACACACACACACACACACACACACACACACACACATTTAGAAATTAAATTTAGAGTTCCTGTTGTGATGATCCCTCGGACCAAATCCAAATATTTACTTAGAAATTATGAGTGAAATCCTTCTCTAGTTTAGATTTGACATGTGAGTTTAACAAACAATTACATTTTTATTAAAAATAACTGTAAGGTAGTAAAGGAGTGTACAAGTGTACAGCTTGGTGTTGATTTTGTTATATACACTGTATCTGCGTTAAGTGTATGTGGGGTTCAATGGTCACCTGAGCACATCATGGAAGGTCACATCCCCTCCGCTGTGCAGTCGCTCCATCTCGTAGCACATGTGTTTAAACAGCAACTTGTCTTTGTCCAGGTCCACCTCCAGCCTGCCTCGGAGCAGACGAAGCAGGAACTTCACCCTGGACGTGGGAATCAACCCCTGGGGAGACAGTCGTAGAAGTCAAAGGGTTAATCACCCTGATTCGAGTACATGATGAGACTTAGACCTGAATTGTAATCTTCAATCTTCAAGAGTCTCTGGCTCTAAAGCCTTAGAGGAAAAACACTTAATAACAATTTTTTTTAATTTTTGGAGGTTGTTGTGTTGGAGAGCCTTAGGTTCGTTAGACCACAGTTACAGCTAGTGACTGGCAAAGGTGAATAGTACTGAGGTGTAAGGGCTGCTGCTCATATACAGTATATATATACAGCTATGTAAGCCTACAGTAGATCCGGTTGACATATGTACACTGTATATGAGAAGTATAAGTATTCACCGGGACGTCACCCATTGTGGACTTTGATGCCTGGAGTTTGATATTTTGGCATCTTGTTTTTTTGGCCGTTGCCATCTCGGCTTTTGACACGAGAGGGTGGAGCTAAATGTTACAATTAATTTTCATGAACTGAAAACACACTCTGAAAGGGTTAAAGATTTAAGACGAAAACACGGACAACTCCCAGACCGGACAATGTTGTGTTATCGACCTGTCAATCACAAGGCAGCCCCGTCCTAAAGCATACTCTGCTTTATGGTCTATTTGACTCCAAATGGACCATAATTTACTAAATGAACATCATGTTGTATTGAAGAAGACTTGAAACTAGAGATTGAGACCATAAACTCATGTTTACTGAGGTAATAAATCAAGAGAGAAGTAGAGTCATTTTCTCATAGACTTCTATACAATCAGACTTCTTTTTACAACCAGAGGAGTCGCCCCCTGATGGTCAGTAGAAAGAATGCAAGTTAAGGACACTTGAGCATCGGCTTCCCTTTTCAGAAGAACAGGCTGATGCCTGGGATGACATCATGGACAAATGGAAGGGGGGGGGGGGGGGTTACATTATTAATCCAGCACACACTGTTCTAATAACTTCAACTTAATTACTCAATGCCATACTTCATTCCCTTCAGCCCTTCTCATTAGCTCTCACCCTGCTTTTATCTTCTCTATATTATGCCTTGCTCATAGCCATATGATCATCACCCTCTCCCCTTCGCTGTGTCCTCGTCATCTCTCCTATTGCTAATGTCTCACCTCCCGTTTGTCATCCACCATGTTCCAGATGATCTGGAAGTGCCTCAGGTCATTATAGCTCAGCAGCTGGTCCTCCTCGGTGGAGTAGAACAGAGAGAAGTTCTCCACGATGATGGCTGCAGCAATAGCAATAGATATTAATAATCACGGATGATAATATTCTATAATGGCGAGTTTTTGTTTTAAGATGCATCAATCGTCTGTGTTTGTAAGACAATAAATGCAGATCGTTGTGCTTCCCTTTATAGCTCTAAATAGCTAAATATTTTATGATGCAATGAGTCAACAGCACTGGCTTCTAGTAGACTAAATGAATCACAATATAGGCCGCAATAAACTAGACTCTCGTCTCTGGAGGAACTCTTTGCCGTCTCTTTGAAAAGATGACAAACCCATACGAAAGTATGCTTCATGAGCACTGCAGTCCTGCGTTACATGAAGCAGCATGAAGTAGAACCCTTGCTGTTGCTAAATCCTTTTACATGTCCCACAAACTGTGTGAAAAAAACATGGTCCCCACAATACAAGAGCACCTGCGCACACTGACCAACAAGTAGGTTGAGCATGATGTAGGCTATGATGACATAGAAAGAGCAGAAGTAGATGAGCGCCCCAGCGTAGTTGCCACAGTCAGTCTCCCAGTAGCGATGTTTATCTGGGGTGCAGAATGGGGCCTGAACCTGGGGACAGAAAAAACCAACGTATGGGGCATTACAACTTCCCAAACACTCCCTGAAATGTAACGCTAAAGGGTCGGTTCACCCAAATTACAAAATTAAACATATGTGTGATATCTAGCCAGGCAGATAGCCATGTCAGCAGTTTTCATTGTGGCTTCTTTTTCATTATTATAAAGTGTTCCTAGTAAAATCTGCTGATAGTGAGGTCTGTGAGTACATAATTATAAGAACAACTGTGAGTAAATCCACTCGCCTGCATTGTATTGGGGTAGCGAAGGAAAATTGAGGTGAAAATTGAGAAAGAAAATATAATGTTTAGGACACACTGTATTTTTCTGGGTTGGGAATAGATGGCATGTTCTTTGGTCTGCCAGACCTGCGGCCCATCTTACCATACAGTCGTGCATGATTTTATTCCAATCCTCCCCGGTGACAATACGGAAGAGAACGGTGATAGCCTTGCCCGCTGTGGAGAAGTTGGCATGCCTATGACAAGGGGAGATGGACAGCTCCGTAAAGATCACTTCTACTGTATCCACTGTACACGGTGCAGTGATCGTCAACAGGACGGAAAAAAAGGCAGCGTCCTCACCGGTTGATGTTCTCTCCGTACTTGACGGTTCCAAAGAGAACAACGCCGGCAAATGCATAGCAGAGGAGGAGGAGGAACATGCCCACGATGATGAAGAAGCTCTTGTACATGCTGACTACCACGGTCAACAGCAGCATCTTCAGAGTCACCTAAATTAATCACACACACACACACATCCGTAAGCATATTTTGTTAAGATACAAATTCTTATTTTTTTTGGGCAAAAGACACCGAATTGAACAGATTCTTGCGCGCAAATATACTCACATGCTTCCCACATATTGTGAAGAATCTGAAGACAATCACACATGTGCCCATCATGTAGGTATATGCATTCTAGAGGGGGGAATGATATAGTTATATGCAACATTGACTCCACAAGAATTTCTAAAATGTTCTCTTCGTGTGACAGGAATTTGTCGAACCAGTAAGGAGAAGTGCAGGACTATCCAGATGACACCCAACACCGTGACCAGCAGGTCGTAGCGATTCCGTCTGCTCTGCCAGTAGCCCGCGGGAGACATGGCTATGAGCTTCATGGTCACCTGGAAAAACACAAGTAACATCACACACACACACACACACACACGTATATGCCCAGTGCAGGCAATCAAACCATTAAAGTGACAAATGAGGGTAACATGCTCACCTCCAGTACAAATATAAAGGTGAAGACTACTGATATGGTGGCGAGGGGAAATGTCACCTGATCGTCCACGTCCCACTGGAGAGGAGAGCAGATTCACAAACATGTCAGTAAGTCAGTTCACATCATATCAATGTACCTCATTGGAACATCTTAATTGTTCTGGAAATGCAAAATAAATACAAGCTCATAGGAGATTAGAAAAAAACCCAGATACATTAGAAATGACATGATGTATTGCAAATTGAGGCTTTACCTTGACTGAGAGCAGCACCGACTGTGCCAGCACCAGCACAGCAATGCCCCGTTTGAAGAAGGGATGTTGAGTGATGTCATACATCTTGGCCCGGAAACCCCCGTTTTCTGTCCGGCAGATAGAAGACCACACTTATAACACAAACATGTTTGTATCGTCAAGTGGTGGACCTCTCTGAGTCAGTGATTCAAATTAGAATCTCTAAACTGGCTGTAGCAGTAGGTCTTTCAAAAAAGCAGCTGATGCTTGAATCCGTGGTAGTGGTCCTTCCTGTCCAGCAGATGGCACTCATGGACTGCTTGGGTGTTGACATCAGAGCCATAACGCTCGTTTGTGCTGTAGGTTTCTACATACACTAACAGATTTGGTGAATGTTGCATGTTGCATGTTGCATATTGCAAAGGGAGGTTTTTGTTACTGTTGCATCTCATAAAACAGAACTTGAGCTTGAGCAGGAGATGCAGAGTCTTCTCTGAGGCACATAAGGAAACTGAAGCTGCTTTAAAAAGAAACGAGAGGAGCTTAAGAGGGTAGTGGCCTGTGCTGACGCCCACCCAAACTCACAAACAATACTATATCCCCTTTGCCACAGGGGCAGTGTGGGAAGTACGGGAGGGTCTCGGGGGGGGGGGGGGGGGGGGGGGGATTGTTTGTTGTGAAGCGGGGGGGGGGGGCGGG